AAGATCACAGGGCTACCTGTAGATGAACAATTTGGGTTTATTACTACTCATTATAGCAAAGGATAACATATTCTAAGGAAGAACCGTGGGCTGCTTCAGTAAAACACTGTTAAAAATAACCTATTATAGGATTGATGCTTTGGTTGATTGACTTGGGGGAGGGTCAAAGGAAGCAGTGATTTGCTCCAGATTGAACGTTGTCAAAGCAAGGACAATTCTATGACTAGGTTTCTCAATGAATTTTATCCACAGAGAGGGCAGAAAAGGAGAATAAAGCTGTAACTGGCTCTTTTTTGAAGTAGCAGACACTCATTTTTTGCCAAGAGGAGGATATTGGTATTGTATGGCTGGCACAGTGACCTTGTATTTTTCTATGCTTAGACAAAATTACAAAGGTTTGTTTTGTCTCATGTTTATGTCCAATAACAGAATAGTATGACCTAGATGAGAGTGTCATATCAGCTTGTAGTAACTTTAAGGTCTAGTTGTGAATGTCAGATCAGTTATGGACATCTGGGACTGCTTTTATCCCCTTCAGGTTTGTAAGAGTCTTCATTGGCCACTTAGTAAGCACACTTAGGGGAGTTAGATTTATTGGTTGATTAATTTTAAAATAATCAGTTGATCTGTTAATATTTCATTCTATCTGTGAGAGGTTTAAAGCAAAGAAAAGGTACTATTTCAACTTGCATAGAAAAAAAAAACCCAGAAATTAAGGCAGACCCCCACGGTAAGTGAATAACAAGCATAGAGATATCTCTTGACACTCTTTTCCTTTTAGAAGCAGTAAATGGGTCCTCAAGGATCAGGAAAAACAGGGATTACTTCCTGGCAGGCTCTACTTTATAACCCCACCATCCTTCATCAGACACATTCAAGGATCCTTATCACAGTCATTTCTACCTCTTTTCTCCTCTCTGGTTATTGCCAAGAAGACTATCTCTTCTAAGAAAATAAAAAAGACACTTTTGAGAAGCTTCAGTTTAGAATTCCCTTTCCTGATCTAGGTAATAATTAGAAGAATAAAAAATCATAATCTCCTGGCTTTTACCCACAGCTCTCTTCAAATTTGCTATGGCCATACACATACAACCAATATTTCTTAAACCCTTACTGGTGAGGAAATGGTAAAGGTGCTTCCACAGGAGTTTGTCTCATTCAGTGAACTTTATAATGGCCCTTTAAAGAAGGCATAATTATGCCCATTACATAGCTAAGGAAACTGAGTATTAATTTCCTATGATGAGTGAAAAAAGCTGTTAATTCTAAATCCAGCACTTTTTCCATCACACACAACTGCCACTCATCCCAGTCTAGAAAATCATCCTTACTTTTAAGTATTTTCCAGTAACAGATTATCAGTGTTACAGATGTGGCAGCCCCCTCACTGAAACCGTACGAACTAGCTGAAGGAGGAAACTGAATCTTCATGAGACATCTCTGGATGTGCTGTAGAGAGAAGGCCAACAAATGGGTACCGAGACGTCCACCGTACTGGGATGCGAGGGGAATGTCTTCCTCGCACTGTGTGTGACCTGGTCTGGCTCAGACATAGTCTAGCTCAACTTTCCCAGGGTTGACTAATTTAATAAGTAAAGCAACAAAACAAGGTGACTGTTGTTAATTAATTCAGTCCAAGTGAACACAGATATTGGTTGAACCCATGTTCATAGAGCCCTCTGCAGTCGATACAGGGTGAATTTACAGCCTTCTTTTTTTTCTTTGACAGCTTCAGCTCACACTTGAGGCAAGTAAACATCACAGTTTCTTCGCTACAGAGGAGCTCAGTAATAAAAGGTGAGTAACAATGCAATCTGGTTAAATATATTAGATTGAGCGTAAAATGGTGATGGACATTCCTGTTTTCTACAACAATTTTATAAGACTTCCTAGCACAGAATTGCTCCGAGGGAAAAGTTCCACTTAAAAGTGTAACATAATCAGTTTTTCTATTTTTAAGGAGTACTCTGATGTTGCCTGGAAAATGTAGACAGAATAGAAGGGCAAAAATAGAAGCAAGGAGCTCAGTTAGAATACTGCTACAGAAGTCTGAGGAAGGAAAGATGATAATTTGAATTTAAGAGACAACAGTGAAGACAGCAAAGTGCATGATATGAGTCATATTTTAGAAACACAAACATCCTGCTGATGAATTGGATATGAGGGGTAAATGAAAAGAAGAGATGTAATGCTGAAATAATTAGACCAGAAAAAGTAAGTTCTTGAAAATTAACTAAGCCATTTAAAGTGCTGAAAATATTTTGAGATGATGGACAAAGTGATTATCACCAAAAAAACAAAAAACAAAAAAAACCTTTTAGAAACATCTTGCAAAACAGTTTGATTAAAAATGCCCCAACCACTATTAGTAACAAATTATTCTGACCTATTGAAAACTGAGTGGTTTTTCTCTGAGTTGGTATTAAATCTGTAGATCTAAAAAGGCCTTTTTTAAAGTTTATGGAATTTAAAGGTTATAAGTGACCTTCACATCTTATAGCCAATTTTCTAAGTGACTTCTTTTCATTAATGATGAATGTATCCTCATGGCTCCAACGTTTACTAATAGCCCCATTCAAAGAACAGGGCATTTGGGAAAGTGGCTGCTTCAGAAAATATCACATTCTGAATATTTTCATCCTGAATGAGAATAGTGTAAAGCAATGCAAATATATGTTACATATTTTGTGTCTGGTTTAAGTTCATATTCAAGAGATGAATATTTGATAGCTGAAATTTATTTCTCAGTTCCCTAGTCACATGTCCTTAAAATCAGAGAGGAAAACTGTTTAGAAAGGGTAATTTCATGGTACAAGAACAGAACCTGTTCCTTCCACAGCCTGACTCATTAAAAAACCTGAGGTAACACAAGATATAAAATACCATCTTGGGAAATTTTATCAGCCACATGAGTCCCCCATGTCATGGAAATAACATAAAATCCAGAACTAGATCTGGCTCAGAGATGGAAGCTTTTGTACACATTTTATAAATTCTGAAATATTAATCAGTATCTCCTGTCAAAAATTTTCTTCCTCTTCAAAAACTAAACAGAAATACACTATAATCAGCTACCTCTCCCCTGATACCTTCTGCTATTTATCCAGAGAGATCTAACTGTTTTTGAATATTTCAAGTAGACTATTATCAGTTTCTTTGGATAACTAGCCAACTCTCAAAAATAATTTATGATTGATTGATTGATTGACTGATAGATGCTATATTCCAGATAATAGAAAATAGAGAAGTTTCGTGTTCCTTATGAATGTCTTATTTACCTAGGCTATAATAACCAAGAAAGGATTATTTAACAAAGTTTTTTTTTTTAACTCAGAAAAGCACAAAGCCATTATGTAAATATCTAACCATCCAAAGTCATTCTGTCTTCAGGTGCTTCCAAACTCCCATTCTCCAAGATTGGGAAAGGGAGCAAAAAAATTTTAAGTTTTCTCATCTTTTCAAGTTTCTTGCTACATGTACCTTAACATGAAATCAGTAATATCAGGTTCCATAGTTTATATATCTAGAGTAGGAATCAGTGAATTCTGCATAATCATATTCCTAACCCAGATAATCAAAGACCTGTTTCAGTAAGACCAGATTATCACTGATTCTCTCTCTTAGCTACGGCATCTCTTACCTGCTGGCTGGGAACCGTATTAACTAGAAGTGAGCTGAGGCTATTTCCTACACCTAATTTGAATGTTTTAACTTCTGAAATTAGTAGACTGAATTACCAAATAGAATCAATGAGTTAGTTAAGTACTTTAAAAGAAAAAAGTGATTCTGATAGTCCCACAGGTTCCCTGTTCCATGGACAGACAAGGTAAGTCAGCTTTGTCCACAAGAGCTGTGTTTTTGTGATCTCATTCTAAGACCTAAAAGGGGGCATTTATCCATTCATTTTATAAATATTTATTAAAGCTGTCTAAGTGCAAAAGCACTATGTGAATTCCAATCACTTCTTATAAAGTAACTTCTCAGGGAAACTGATTTCCAGCTGATGACAAAATTCTGCGGAAACTTGCTGCTCAGGAAGATGCTCCCTGCGTGAGCCACTTCAAAGAATTCTCCCTTGAGAGAGGCATATAAGAAAAGTAGGAGGTACAGTAAAGACATGTCTTCTTTAAATCGTAAGACTGATCGTAAGACTCAAACCTCATGTAAGATGAATAATGAATTTCCAAAGGTGGCTATAAATTACATCATGCAATAAAATGTTCTCCTATTTCAAGTTTGGAGACAGTTTTCTTTATCATTTCCAGAATACCCTCCCTTCAGAACAAAACAGTTCTGACATAAGCATCTACTCCGAAAAAAAGTACTGCCAGGAAGAGAACTACATAGCACAAGAAAAGAAAAACTAAAGAGAGGCCATTAAAATGCAGTCTATATTCCCCAAGCTACATGCCATTCCCCAGGCTCTGCTAAATATAGACTTTAACATTAGAAAAGGATATTGACAATCAGAGCTCTCATATTACTGTCAGTGACAGTGATAAATAGTGCAGTAATGATGTAACACTGTTTAACTCGATCTTCTAAAGTTGAAGATACAGACACCCTATGATCCATGCTGTAGAAATGCATACACATGTGAACCAGGAAAAAGGAACTATATATCTGTAGTAGCATTACTCCTGATAGCCCCAAACTAGAAATAGCCAAAATATTCACCTATAGTAGACTGGTTAAATAAGTGGTGGTTTATTCATAGAATGTAATAGTACAGAGCAGTAAAACGGACAAACGATAGATACATGGACAACATGAATTTCAGAAAACTTAACCATTGAACAAAAGAAGCCATCCAAAAGTACTACATATATCATGATTTCATTTATGTAAAGTACAAAAACAAGAAAAACTAAATTATTTTGTTTCAAAATGCATACGTATTTATTAAAATAAAAAGAGGAAGGTGGTTACCATGAGGAAAGGAAATTGTTACAGTTGGAGGGAGAGAGAGGCTGAAGTTGGAGCATGAGAGGAGATTCTAGGGTACAAGTGATAATCTATTTCTTGGCCTCAGTGGTAGTTACTGCAGAGTTTTGTATATAATGATTTATATGTTAAACATGTTTCCATACATCTCACAATAAAGAAGTGTATCTATTGATAGTATTTTTACAGTCCCAACACTGAGCCAGGACAGTATTTCAGGATTAGACAAAAACAGTAACTATTGATATATGTGTTTACTACATTCCCCAGGGTGACTTCAATATATATCTGGGTCCCTGTATGTCTCTACATCATTTAATAATTTGATGATCTTTCTACAGCTCCCAGACCCATGAAAATCTCTAACAACCCCAACAACACCAGTACC